ATCATTTTCAGCTAGGTGACATATCCCTATTCTATGCAGATTGTTTCATTCTGAAATATACAGAACTTGTGATAGCTTATACAGAGAGGGTGATTACTTTTGGAAATACAGTTATAGGTGATAAGTTACCTATACCAACTACTACAGTCACACTACACTGATGAATGCATCCACCGTAAAAACAAGCATTCCAGCCTCTCACCTCCAACGGTACAACCTTATAGCTGCCCTATGCCTTAAAAAACAAACAAAAACCCTTTAATTGTGAATTAGGTGAAGGTTTACAGAGATCAAGAGTACACTTAAATGCGCACTGAACTTTCCAATGTCTTACACTGTTACCATAATTTTTGCCCATTTCCCGTATGTTGTCTTCTCTTTCACCAAATTAACTCGTCTATTGCTTCTCCTTTCTTGTTTCCCTCCCGACTCTGATAACCTTCTAAGTCTGTTGTTTTCAGCGTAGAAACCTTTTCTTAACTTTTTATAATCGTGGGTTCATGCATTTGTCCGTTTTCACTTGGTTACTTTCACTCAGCATGGTATCCTCCTTGCTGATGAGGACTTTCCTATCATAAGATCCTTCCCATATACATCGTACTTCTTTAATGCTGTGTAGTACTAAAGTAACAAAGTTGACGTATCCAGCCATTTTCCCATCGGTGGGTGATTATCAGTGCTGTGGTGAACACGAGCGCACTATCCGGGCTCTTCTTTCTCTAGGATACACATCAAGAAGAAGAACTGCGGTCATATGGATGGAGTGTCTATTCCCGATGATCTGAGGACGCACCATCTTGCTGTCCACGGCACGTGCAGCGTTTTACCAGCAGTGCAGGAGGGTCCCAGTCTCTCCATGTTCTCTCCGGCATGTGTTGTTTTAAACTTTGCCATCAATGCTGGGGTGAGTTCATATCACATTGCCGTTTTCATTTGCATCTTTTGAAATGGCTAATGGTCATTAGCATTTCTAAATGCCATCTTTGGTGAGTGGTCTGTTCATGTCCACTGCCCATTCTAAGATTAGGTGGGTTTACTTTTTCTTATTGAGATGTTAGCGTCTCCGACAGATGTAAATATAGTCCCTTGCCTGCTGCGTCATTGCCTATTTCTTTCCCTCCTAGTCTGTGGGTTCTCTTTTTAGTCTTTGGTAATTTTTTCAAATGCAAATAAGTGTCCAATTCTTAGGAGGTGCCTGTCATCTATTTTGTCTACTATTGCTAGTGTTTTTCAATATGTGTGTATTATGGTCCTTACGTTTGTCCACAATTTTTCATTAATGATCTTTATAGTTCTAAATTTTGCATTAATAACTCTGATACATCCTGGCTTCGTTTTGTACATTGGGTGAGAGATAGGTCTTGTTTCAGTCTTGGACATATAAAAATCTGGTTTTCCAAGCACTATTTGTTGAAAAGTTTGGTTTTGAAGGCATAGTTACAGGAAAAAATTAGACATCACCTTATGTTAACGTTTAGAATGACACAGATACTGTACTGAGTGAAAGAAGCCAGACACAAAAGTGCAGACGGTACAATACCATTTATCTGAGTTCAAGAACAGGAAAAACAAATTGACACTGTTAGATGTCAGATTAATGACACCCAGAGTGACAAGCTGCAAAGGGGGAGGGATGATGCTTCTGGGGTGATGAAAATGTTTTAGAATTTGATTGGGGTGTTGTGTCCACATTTATCAAAACCAAGCAGACTGTACCTTAAAGCTTGCTCATTTTACTATCTATAAAGTATGCCTTAGTAAAGTGGAGGTCTAACACGTGTATAAAAGAGTTTTGTTAAGAAACAAAAATTCAAGACATAAAAGGTAAAGTGCTCCCTCAGGGTCAACTTTGAAAATGAAAAGGACATGATTAACTGACTGCTCAAATGGAATTTCTTTCCAGGAGCCAGGTGACCAGTTCATGTGTCAAAAAGGGCAGGATTCAGGAAAACAGGCCATTCTAGAAGAAGGGGGAGAAAGGGCCTTACCCTTGGGGTAGTGATCGAGGTTTCAAATTCCCTGACCTACTTGCCGGCACTGGTTTGACACGTCCTCATATTTATGGTCCTATCATTTGCACATAAATATTCAAATTGTGGCCTGAATTCACTAAGATCTTTTATCTTTCCACATGATGTAAAACATACAATTACTTTCCTTTTGGCTTTCTGACAGCCTGGATTAGTAACTGGAGATCTAATTCTATTTCCAAAAGCATCAGCGTGCAGCTCCTTGGACGTCTACCCGCGTTTTCCACATTTGTTTTCACCTGCAGCATGAACTGCAGCTGAAACAGCATTGTAAAACTGGCAAGTGTCCCCGAGATTTGAGGTCCAAACCTCCCTGGCAATCCCACCTGCTTCCTTCAAACGGGAATACTCCAGAGGAGCTCGCTCTCAAATGCACCTAATAATTTTCTCCCTCTCATCCACAGTCTCTTTCGAAGGTCCTGATTTTTGTCTGTTTACATCAAGGGTAAATTGAAGGACGGGGCTTTCTACTCCCATAAACAGGTACAGACTGGGAAACTGCCATGGGCACTTCTGCTCTGTCCTGCAGGGTGGCTATGCGTCGACTTCAACCAGATGGCAGTACATTTGTTTGTTGTTCTTTTGTTGTTTGGCCATCCAAGCTAAACCTTTGAGGTATCCGTGATGAGTGTAAAATATAACGGGAACTCACTGAATCCTTGTGACGAACATGGCAAGTTAGCATCAACCCCACTTAAAACGAGAGAGAAAAACGAGGCTCAATGAAATCAAGTGGCAGTAAAGACACACAGTAAAACAGATGCTGTGGTTGAAACTGCATCTCCTGACCTCGGTTTTGCATTGTTATTCTAAATCTTTCAACTGTCAATACCACACACAAGAGTGTCTTGGGTTTTGGTTTTGTTTAATTTTAAGGGAGGTTTCTCATTAGGAAAGTTATTTGACTACATAAAGGGTCATAATGCTCCCAATGCTCCCATTTCTAGGCACCTCTCCTAAGGAAACAAATCCGCTGCTTGTTTAACACTGTGCAGTCCAGGGGGGGAGGCTGCCTGGGGCAGTCCAGGATTATCTGTAAGCATGTGCTTTTCACACCAGGACACCAGGGTTGTATGCACCTCCCTCCTGCAAAGTGGCCCCTTGAATTAGACACCAGATTGAATTAGACACCAGATTCCTCCAAGGAGCAGGACCCATCTGTCTTTCTTTTCTACTCCAAGATGAGCTAGCCGGAAACACAAAGTACAATGTTTCATGAAGTTTCTACTTAAAACTATGGGCAATGATGACAGTTTCTTGAACTAAAGTATACATCCTTTTAGACACTTCATGTATCAACACAAAGTCATTCTTGGGCGAACAGTCTTAAGAAAACATTAGGGCCAATGAATCCCACCTCGCATCTCTCATCCCTGTTACGCCTTGCAATGCTATGGAGCTCTTCCTCCACTCCCAGTCTCCGAGTCTCAGGAAGCTACCACACACTGGTGTATCCTTCTGAAGTGCTTAAAGGCCTGCTCCACCCTACCACCCATCACACTCCTTGGGATCTCCTTACATGGTAAACAAACTACTCCCTATCTTAACCTCTTTTTGAATGGGCTCTCTTTCCTTCTCAATAGCTTTTGGTTTTCTACCAAGAACATCGCATTTAAGTAGGTGTTGTTCATTCTTTCACCCCCTGAGGGAGAGCTAGAGAAAGGGGAGTCAGGATTTTTCTAGTTCTTGCCAGAATGCTCCTTGGAAGTGAGGAGTGAGAGACCTTGGCTCACAACCTTTGGTCATGTTACCAGAAGGGACCAGGCTCTGGAAAACGGCATTGCACCTGGGAGAAAGTCTGCCCAAATAAAAGAGTAATACCTTTGACAAGATGGGCAGACAGTGACCACAACAAGGTTTCCAAACATAACAACAATTGTGAGGAGGGTGTTTTGTTCTGTGGTACCCAGGATCACTATGAGTCCACAGCACCTAACGACAACAACATTGTTCTAAATGCTCTCCCACCACCAGACCATTCTTCTTCGACCGGTATTTTAAAGCCAATCTCTACCCCACACCTCACCTCTTAATCTAACCTGCACTTAACTAGCAAATGACCTTTCAATCAAATGAAGTGGTAGGTGGACATGAAGGTCATTGAACAAGAATTCCAGACCCTAAGCTACTGGAAAAAGAAAAGGGGGCAGGGGGAGTGTCATCTGTACCCTTTCTTTCAGCCTTGAACCCTTGGATGAGCTTCCTCCTCTTAACTGCTCAGTGGCTAATTGTACTCAAAGGGTAGTGCCCTCTACCACTCCATCATCTCCAGGGACTACTTTTAATCATCGCATTTCATGTGTAAATGTGTGTGTGTGTGTGTGTGTACACATATATACATTTGTCTATTTGTTTATCTATTTATATATATATCTAGTGTGTATATTTTATATATATATATATATATTTGTGCTTCCAATTATCCATGTCAAAATACATCTCAAGGTTGCCTTCAACACTGGACTCTATTTCATTCCATTATCCTACAGCCACTGCAACCCTTAACATGTCCAAAACAGCAATCACAATTTTCGATCCCAAACTACTTATGCAACTTATTATGTGATGTTGAACAACTAATAGTGACAGTCATACATCTAGTTTACCAAGCCAGAGACACAAATAATTTTTAACTATTCCTTCTCACCCAGCTTCTAATCAGAGATTCTCTCCACATCTAATCGCCTCTCTCAATCTAATCATTTAATATAGAGTCTAATTCTCAAATCTCTGCCAATGTTTTTACCCCCAAATACTGCTTACCTTGTTTGTTACAATAAACTCTTCACAACCTTATTCTCTGAGAAAATACTTTTTATAATCCATTTTGCACATATAAAACTGTTCAAACACTATAATCCGGGGCACGTGAGATAAGCACAGTAATTGTCTAGTACAGATGTTTAAAAACTTTCTCCGATGTCCCAGAACAATCACGCAATCATGAAAACAGAGGGGATGATATCATACCATGCACTGGTGGCGTATCTTGCAGACAGCATTCCTGGGTGTGCTGAGACTTTTGAAACCACTTGTGTCCTGGGGAGTTGATATAAAGGCAATTCTTCTGGATCCCTTCTTTGAGCCACAGCAGGAAGGTCAACAAGCAAGCTGGGCCCTTGAATAGCATCTGGAATCATCACATCTGGAGAACAAACCCAGATGACAGTGACTACAGGAAGCATTCTTTCAAGCATCATTCATTCAATGTATAGTTACGTGCACTTCCTTTGGGAAGGCACAGTGCCAGGTGGGAGATGGATTATATTAAACAGGCAAGATATTTACTGTTAGATGATAAGTGAAATGGTGAAAATTACAGCAGGGTGGACGGGCAGGAATGCCAGTGGAGGAGGGGGCAATTTGAAGTAGGCCCCTACTAAAATGATGGCATTTTGAGCAATATCAATGTTTTATTGGGGAAAAAGCACACATAACAGTAGAGTCCTGATCTTTTTGTAAATTCTCATCTTCCTTTGTCAATTGAGGTAAAAATAAGAATAATACCAGGCAAATAACAACTATAATTAAATAAAAACACCATTATTTTAAAAAAAGTTTTTACTTAGAAATTACAAAATTATTTTTCTGATACTCCATTTAAACTTCATATAAACCATTCAGTTAGAATGAAATGATGCTACCAACCATAGTTTATTGATAAGGAAACTCGGGTTAAGTAACTTGTCAATTTTTACGCAGCAAATAAGAAATACAGATTGCCATTATTTATTTAAATACCCATGTATATTTCCAGCTAAACTTGTGCTATAGTCTTATTCATTTTGACTCCTACTCTGGAAGGTTCACACTATAAGCCTTAACAGCAATGGTAATAACAATGACAATGGGTAAAAACAATGACAACGGTATCAATCAATTTTAAAATCTATTTGTTATATTCTTCTCCAGTTGCCATATCTGGGAATCATCATTAATTGGAAGGAAAACATGGACGCTATTATTTTCTCCTTATATATTTTGAAAACAAGACGACTCTTCTATCTTCACAATGATAGATCATTTCCTGATACTTAAGCGTTAGAAAACTTCACATTTCCCTGCTTTCTTCCTGGTTGTTTTGTGTCCCAAAAATGCTTAATCAAAAAGTCCTTTTTTCTGACCCAGCAAAGTCCACTTCCATCCCTTCTACTGCCAACTTACCTGCCACCGTATCTTACACCTTACTATGTTCTCTCAAGAACCTATATTTTTCCATGTATTATTGTAACTATGACATAATAGTAACTGGCGACATAGTAGGTTATGCTTGGGGCTGCTAAATGCAAGGTCAGCAGTTCAAATCCACCAACTACTCCATGGGAGACAGATAACACTTTCTACTCCTATGAAGAATTACACTGTCAGTAATCCACAGGGGCAGTTCTACTCTGTCTTATAGGGTCTCTATGAGTTGAATCGACTTCATGGCAGTGAGCTGTTTTATTTGTTTTTGTAGCTATTCCATCACTGTCTTAGATGAGCTCATTCAGAGTGAGAATTATGTCTGCCTCAACTTTGTGCTGTGACCGTATGGAGCATTGTAGGGGTGGAGAAGGGAGAAGGGGGATCAGAGTTTCTATATACTTTTTGTATTTTTTAAATGTTATAATGACCATTTACTGCTTATATAATAAAATCTAATATGCACCTTTTAAACAAATGGTACAAAGCTCCAAAACCCTACTCTGTCACTACCATAAAGTCAACTCCAAGACTCATTGCGACAGCTATCATGAGGCAAACATTTTTGATGATAATGTAGATAAGAAGTTGTACATACTGATGGAGGCAGCTTGAACACAAGACTTCTAGATCTTCCAATGTAAAACACAGAACTGGACAAGATTTTCATCGCTGCCTCTCAAAGGTACAGCCTACTTTGTAATTTATTAACTTTGTTCTAGTCAATTATAATATTCCCATTTTAGGTCCCTTAACAGCTGTGATTATGAGAATAATAGCTCTTTAAAATGTCTATGATTTAATTACTTTGGACCTAAAAATGCTTCCTTATCTGATAACAGAGACTCTGTAGATGTGACAATAAAAAAACAAAAGATTATCTGAGTGGCTTACACATATCATAGGAGCCCTGGGGGTATGCATGGTGGTTATGTACTGGGCTTCGATCCACTAGGTCAACAGTTCAAAAACCACCAGCCGCTCCCCAGGAGAAATATGGGGCTTTCTGAGCTGGGAGGCAAAGGGAATTTATAGAGGTCTAGATAAAGACATGTACATATGCAAATATATTTATATATGAGGATGGGGAAATAGATCTATGTGCATATATTTATAGGGTTAGTATTAAGGTAGCAGAAGGACATGGAGCCTCCACTCAAGAACTCCCTCAAAGCAAGAATACTTTCTTATATTAAATTGGCATTCTATGATATTCACCTTTCTGACACAACC